CTTTCATATACAAAATATCAATTTTTTGTTATTAAGTCTTAAGATTTGTAAAGCAATAATTTTTGCATGCCTTTTTTTCTTTTCATATGTTGCCTATCCAACATGCAAAGTAATTTTCATTTTAAGATTAAAAATATTTTTGTGCATCAGAAAATCTTCAAATTTCACATGTGAAATCTTTATGATGTCCAGATAGTTGTCAAACATTTTTAAGAAAAAACTTTATATTTTATCTGTTATTTTAAGTAATGATTCACTGTACAGGTTCAGTAGATTTGAACGATCTAGCAACCACCATAAAAAATTAGGAAATAAATATAAATTATGACTCTTTCATTCTAGAATGAACACAAATTATAACACAAAAACATAAATGTTCAGCCGAAATACCTTGAATATCATAACATTATACATTTATATATATTTATTATTTCTTATTATATTGACCTTTCAGCCATGCCTGGCTAACAATACAGAAGTTACAATGATGCAGCACACATGCACTCACGTTACCATATCCAATAATATAAAACTCACCGTTAGTCTTTAAAAAGTGACCTGTCTTAGCTATGTTTTTGTGGACTAGTATTTTGTAAAATACAGTCACATTTCAATTATTTTACATTATATATGTATATAGATTATTGCTATTTAGAAATAAGTTCTTAAGCATTTTTTTTCTTAAAACATAGAACAGTAAATAAAGAAGTAAAGCAAACAATTATCTCTTCTAGTTACCACTTTTGTACTAGGTTGCTACTTGACATAGGTTGCTAAGCTTTTAAACATTTGCACGTGGAGGATATGAAAATTTTTTCTAGGTTTTATATATACAGTTGATTTACCAAAACAATCATAAATTACTATATCAATACCACAGAATTCCACTAATTTATCAAGCTTAGTAACTAAGCTGTATTTCTGTCTAAAACAAAATATAAGATTTTGAGCAGACTAAAAGACACAACCTACCCCATGAAATCTTTGTTTGAAAGAAAGATGACATCCAAAGATGTTAAAATGACTGAGAAAGCCACTAGGGGAACATTCTGAGCTTCCAATTTGTTATCAATGTCATATATAGAAGTGTATATAAGTGAGTGTTTCCAAAAATGGAAAGAGGTGGGTGGGGTGCCACTGTGCTTGATTTATTACATGAGCAATATCATAGTAAATTGAAAAGATAAGAGGCTCTTATTTTATATTCTAGCTTGTTAATATTGATAATTTGAGTTACTATTTCATATGAAACTATAGACTTAGCATTTTGACGTCACAAACATCTAATTTGAACCAGTGCTGCATTCAACATACCATATGACACAAAAAAAATCGATGTTTAACTGTAC